TTTGGCGCCTTTCCGCTATCTTGTCACCTACAGAGGCTCAAAACTCTCCTTGACCAACTTTTCACCTGTGTTATAGGTGATCGCAACCCGCTATGCACTGTCTTCGCTAAAGTTTGTCTTCCTCTTTTTTTGCCTGGTTGAAATCCTTGTGTGCTTGAAGTGGGATCAATTGCTGGATCCGAAGGCGAATATTTTTACCTGGGATGACGTCGCTCTATCCCCAGCGGTCTGTTGGGCCTCTTTACCCGCGTTTGCCGCGCTCTGTCTCATTTTGGCGATATTCGTCTTTGCCTACCATTTAGTGAGTCGATTCTCAAAAATGTATTATGCTGCACAAGAAATCCATTAGATGTTTTTAGGCGTTTATCCTGTACCGTGGCATTTTAACATTTTCGGTCCCAAAAATGCAAAAAATAAGATCTACGTTACTAACTATTGAAAAACAACAGTATCACTTTGTAGGTGGTAATACCAAGGGTGTATACCGCCAAACAGCGGGGGTATCACCTACTTTTTTTGGTATCCCCTTACGGTAGTTAAAATAATCACGTCCAACTTATTGAGCCACATCAGAGTCCATGTTAACGTACTTTTTTCTGAAAAAAAGGCGTTAGTTTAATTTATTGAACATTTATTAATGAAATTGTGATCTAAGTACGCTTACTGCCTAAAACGAGAGTGGAAATTGGAATAAAACTATTTGTAATAAATATTACGCAATTATAGCCAACTTATGCAGCTACAACTGACATCCTGTTTTTAGGTCCGTTCCTGTATTACTCTATCCCAGTTGTGGGGTGTGCGCCGATTTTGCACAATAGTCTTGGATATGCCTACAAGTGATTCTGATTTGGGTGACTTGACTTGGTCCGAGGTGTTACGGCGTGTCTTGGCTGTACAAGTACAGATGCCCATCTCCAGAACCAAAGACTGCCTAGATGAGCTCGACATCTATAACCGTATCCTGCGTCAAACCAACTATCTTATCGGCATGGTTAATCGGGAAATCATTCCCCTGAGATTTCATGTTCCTTTTATCTCCGGTTTTTACGTCTATTTACCAAACTACTACCTCCTCAACCTCAAATTGCTTCTTTTTTGGGGTCCAAAATGTCCATTCGCGTCCTACTCTCAGTTGCGTATGGAATACAAGTATCTCTCAAAACGTGAAGACCTCTCAAACGAATTGGCAAAGCAGTCCAGGATTATTGGTTTTATTGGTCTGCTTCTAAGTCCTGTTGCTTTCCTTGTACAATTTCTACTGTTCCTCTTTTCGAATGCCCAACGACTGCGAAATGAGCCAGGCCAGCTGTTTGGTCGCAGTTGGTCAAACTACGCTCGTCTCTACCTGCGTCACTTCAACGAACTCCCTCATGAATTTAATGTTAGATTAAATCAGGCCTACCTACCGGCAACGCAGTACTTGGAATGCTTCCAGTCTCGACTTTTGAACACTGTTGCATCTCATTTGGCCTTCACTCTTGGCGGTATTTCGGTTTCGCTATTTCTGGCAAGTCTCTTCAGGGAGAATTTGATTCATTTGACTGGCTACTTGGCGGCGATGGCAATCGGAGGTCTTATTGCGAAGGTTTGTGTAAACGTTCTTCCCACCAATGACACTGCCTACTTTCCCAAGACCAAGTTAATTTCCACATTAGCAAGAATCCATTATATGCCTGATAGTTGGAAAGAAAATGCTCACACTTACAAAGTGCGACATGAGTTTTCGCAACTTTTTCAGTTCCGCATAGTAGGTGCGCTTGAAGAAATCCTCTCTCCGTTCCTCACTCCTCTAATTATGCTGTTTTGTGTGCCAAAGCGGAGCCTAGATATTGTTGACTTTCTGAGGAATTTTACGGTAGATTTGGAAGGGGTTGGAGATATTTGCAGTTTTGCACAGCTTGATATACCACGCCATGGTGATCCTGAGTGGTGTCCAATGGACGATGTAACTCCACCATCGCCCTCTTCGAGAGACGCAGACTCAGAGGACGGCAGTAGTGGCGTCCAGAATTTCCCAGCGATCGGTGGGAAAACTGAATTGAGTTTAATGCACTTCCACCACACCAATCCTAACTGGAATCTTCCTCCTGATAGCAGGGCTTTTCTTGCCGCCGTGAGAAGACAGGCCTTAAATGATATTCAGCGACACCAGCAAGAACAGGCTGATATGCTCTGGGGCATTCAAGCAGCAACGACAGCATCTCTTTTTGGATCGCTTTACGCTACGCATGATGTTAGAACGACTGCCGTGGCATCTGCACAACAAACATCGGATCAGTTCTATTCTTCTGACTTTTCAACCCATCACATAAAAAATGTGTCCCACCTTCCAACAACTAATGAGCAACCGTCTTTCGGTTTGTCGGGGGCATTGCTCGAGTCGGTGATGAAGGCCAATCCAGAGACTTCAAATACCGGAACTGAGACCCCAGGAGAACTTTCTCCGCCGGGTTTGCCTTCTCGAACAGAAAGGCCAGGAAACTCCAGGACTCCTACTGCTGCCTCACTGCCGGCTGCTCCTGTCCCATTAGCACTTCCTCTTTTCGGAATGAACCCTTCAGTCATGGCCACCTCAGGACTGTGCTACTCCCAACAGATCCCTTACCAGCCCTACACCTCTCAAATGGATGATAAGATTGGCATGAATGTCAGTTACATGAGTCCCAGCGTTGCTGGAAGCTTGTCGTACGGTGATCTGACCACAGATATGAATATTAGCTCCCTTTATATCCATGAGTTGCACCAAAGACGCCGTAACCAGCACCGGTTATCTCATACTTCCCTCATTATACCTCCACCCGGTTCTTCAACACTACGCCAGCTGTCCCTTAACACAGAGGGTTTTCAGGATGAAATACGATACCAGCAACCTGGCCATCGCTACCTGGGAGCTGCTGGACGAGGAAGGTCTCATGCAAGCGGCCCCTCCGTTTCTGGCGGTCTGAGATCTGCTAGACAGTTTGTGGAAGTTGTGGAAGAAGAGGCAGATGGGGAGGAAGAGGCGATGCCACAACAGCAGACAGCATCTACTACGTCATCCACAGAGACCCGAACTGGTACCTCACCAAATATTATAAATGACGGGGTACAAAAATGGCCTAATTTACCGCCCCCTACCTGTTAGCAAACATTTGGTGATCATCTACATTTATCGGTATTTTCTCCACCTGCACCTTCAGGGAGTGCAAAACTTTATAGTTTTTTGCCATTAACTACCATGTAATTGGAAATCCTCACTTCCCTCGACCACTGTGCTTTTTTATTGGTCTTTTATTGCCATTGCTATTGTAGCTACTTAATTTGATACAAACAGAAATGTAAATTTTGGTTGTGGTCCTTGTCTTTTGAAAGTTCCTCATAAACTGGTCGTAGCGCGTTGCAGGAATTCGTTGAATCCTTTTAACCGATGGCAAATGCGATCATCTATGGCATCTTTTTACTTTTGGCATGTTCATTACTTGACTGCCTGTAGTGCCTTTAAAAGTATGGTCACTTTAACATCAAGGCTTGTCATGCTCAAGACTAATCATGTGATTAAGTCCTGATAAACTTCTTCATTAATACCATTGTCTTACTGTTTCTCTGGACTTAGTAAGCATGCCTATTCGTAGCGCAGTTCCCGGAGTGGTTGCTTAGTCGAGGTGTATCCACTAGGTGGGTCCGTTCACTGGTGGGATGTGCAATTAAGCACCTCACTTCGACGTTGCAGTGTGTCTCACTCCATCGCTAACCATATAATGGCGGGTTAAATGCGTAAATCACGTGTCGAAACACTGGGGGGTTCTGCTCCACTTCCGTTCAGCCTCAATAATCCCAATGGAGCGGAACGCACAAAAGTCGCTCGAACCAGCTGCTTCGCGGGTGGGTCCACCTCTTGGTGACGCTTGGGACGATAAGTTGTTCACAGATGCCAGGTCTCTTCTGTGTGAACTCTAGAAAAAATTGATTGTACTTGTGTGATTACGTGGGATGGTTGTTTAAACAGTGGGAGTCGGGGCGAATGTGGCTACGGGTGAATGCACAATCACTTGGATGAAGAGAATGATGACGATGGAAGAGTAAGTCTCGACAGGGTCGCAGTTATGCCATTGTCCCAGGTAGACCTCGCGAGGACATGTTCATTCGATGTGATTGGTGGTCGAAGGTAAAGGAAAGCATTGAAATCACTTCTGTTTGTTATGTTTATTTTCTCTTCATATCGAAAGCATGAACTTATAATTGAAGATACGGTTTAAATTGACCTGCTTTTTGGTTCATTTCTGATCAATGGCGGTAAAACCCACTTCACCGCCATGTACTGCTGTATAAAGTGGTGTCTGCATCTTTGATCGACTCGCTACCAAAATCCAAAAATACGTGCGGGGAAGGGATATACGACCGCAGCGCTCAAAAGCCTGATTGGCACAAACCTTTTCCAGTGATCAAGTTTAATTGGAACGCATTTTCACGACGTTCAAGTTCCCAAAAACGTACTTATTAATTAAGTCTCCTAGTTCAATTACTTCGATTCAAAACATCGCGATTTTGGATATTTTTAATAAGCTTTTTTATGATATTAAAGCAAGCGTTTCCATATTATCAAGGATGACAATGACATGCCTATTTTTTTACACTTCGCTTTAACGCCACAAGTGCCCACACGTCGATATTTATTAAAGACATCACGAGTGGTATGTAACTGGTCTCACAATCACTAGAAGGTATTGAATCGTTTGTGAATCGTGTTTATTCGCATCCCTTAATCCGGTCGATCCATCTCCGACACTGAGTTCCCCTTTTCGCAGCATATCGTCAGCCCCGCGGATCCGCAATCCCCCCCTCATTCACACTATTTATCTTAGATTATCCTCACACATAGGTCTCGATGTTAGCGCATGTATGACTCACACATACGGGGTATAAACATACACGCGCGAACTCCACACACGACACAACGACACCAGTTTTGGTTGAGCTCTGAAGTAACCGATTGTGTCCCGTCCTCTCCGGTCTTTTTTTTTTCATCGCGGGCATCAGGCAAGCGTAATCGGGCCAGGGTTAATTCCGTGGCCCCGGCGTGGTTCAAGACCACATGCTGGGGCCCACAACACGTTCATTTGTAACGCTGGAATATCTGTCCTTGTAATTAAAATGGGCGATTTTGTGAATTTGACCCGACTTGAAGAGGACGGCCCCGTTCGCAAGGTTACCTTCTGCAAAACCAAACGGAAGTTATGGCGATTCAAAATGTAACAAAACATGTAGAGAATTCTGACCTATTCTACGGATGTATGAGCGCTTTAGATCTGCGAAACACGTTACATATTGTTTAGCCGCGTTGGTTGCGCTGCTGTGACAGCGTTTTCCGTGATTGGTAGGTTCCCGTTACTAAAAAATCGAACGCATTTTTCTTAATGATTCTATTTCACGAACGCACAAGGGGTCATACTTATTTGAACGGTGTGGTGGATGCTGAGCGACGTCTTTTGTAACATACCAACAATTTTAGTTTTGATAGGGCCATTTTGGCAAAATTTCATTTACGAAGAACGGTATTATGCATTTAGTCAACGCATTAACTATTCAAAGCATCACGACTCCGGATGGCTGTCCTTGTGTCTTTTTATAAAGACGTGGTCTGGAGAAATGAGTAGTTTGGTCCAAAATTCTTTGTGTTATATAGCCCCTCTACTATGAAAATAAAAAAAACGCAATGTTGTAGTCGACAATATCTTCTCGCGTTGTTCAGGGGAAGGCGAACCGAATGAAACCGTCCACCTCTTCCCTTTTCCCCCTTTATTTTCTAACTTACTAATCAGCTTATAAAAATAATTTCAATTAACTAATCTAGCAAATTGCGATCAGTTGATTTATGAGGTCTTTAACTTGTTCATGTAAATTAATTGTTGCATTTAAAGTATTGCCTTGGAGTATTCTATATGGCTAAGATAGTTGGCTTGTGTAAGTATAATCATTTCCGCGTCAGGGGAATCCTGATTTACATTTTTCTTGCATACAACCCGCTATGGGTTCCATCCACTTCATCAATTGCAGCCTCTTCCATTGTCCGTGTTCGGACCATGCTGAAGAAGACTTGTGAGTAAATCTGCGACGATCGCAATTAGTGCGTGATGACGGGGTTTTTGAATTGCGGAACTTTCTTGTGGAACCTGAAAGGACCGTGGGTCCAATTCATCGATTGGTTTTTTCGCGTCACGTGATGTCTGGAAATAGTGTGCTTAATGCGTTGAATTATCCTGACTTAAGTAACGGAATAAAATCAGAACCAGCTTTCAGACAAAAAACGATACAAAACTAAAAAGCTGGTTTACCATTTAATAATGACAACTTCTGAGGTAAATCTAATTCTGATTAATATGATAGTGAATGTTTTGACTCCATATTGGTAATTAACACGAGATTTTATGCTGGCAACTTCGTTTTACCATGCAACCTTAGGCAGAATTAGGTTCTAGTATCGTGGCGTTTTATGAATCAGATGTTTCACCCTTAGTAGCACTTACAGAACCCACAGCCAGGCCCGATCCCACCGTTAATAACCTAATCATATCATCCCACACACGCCAAAAACGCCGCAACAGCGTCAATCTTGGATGATAATCAGTGGGATAGAATACCCAGGAAAGCTGGTCATGTATTCCTGACGGTTAAATAGTTCTTAGTCCTTGTTGTCGAGTGTCAACAACGAAGCGAACTATTACTAACGTCACTACTGACGTGCTTGTTCAACGTTTGGCAAGGAGAATGGTAACACTGCGGGGCCATTTGCCACATTTTACCTCAGAAGACTTCTCATTAGCTTTATAGACTGCGAGAACCGCACACCATTGGACATGAAAGTAAGCGAATTTCAGCAAGAATTACCACACGCGAATCCTCTAAATAGGCTAATTAGGTAAAGAAACATGAAAAGAACGGAGAAGTCGTATAAAAAGGTGAAAATATGACCGACGAAACCATGTGAGCGTTCATAATGAAGGGCAAAAATTAAGTAGTCTTCCAAGCAATCAACAAAGAAGGGGGGGTGACGCGTTACAGCCGATAGTGTCAATCTACGTACTGTCTCATAATTAGGTCGAACGGACACCACTCAACATGACTCTCCGCTGGATTCGAAGTCTTCCTCGTACCTATCGCCGGCTGCAGATCCGGAAGCGGAGTTCAAATTACTGGAGGAGGAGACCTTCTCAATGGGCTTGATATCCGAAGAAATAGAAACGTCTGGAGTACTGATATCCGGTATTAGGGTGCCTGTAAGCGATGAGGCTAGATCAATTGAAGGTGTTTTTTTAAGTTTTATGGGTTTGGGGGAAGAGAGACCTTCAGAAGTAGAGGGTAAAGTGACGGATAGATAATCCGAAATGTTCTGTCCAATGGGGGACTTAAGAGGTGACAGTGGTACTCCTTTAGGGTCTCCAGTCGTAGACAGGCGACTAACACTGACTTGATCTTCGCACGGTTCTACCGAGATTTTAATCGTGTCCGGCAGTTCTTTTGAAAAATTCTCGGATTTACGAAAACTCGAGTAACTTTGTTTTTCTTCCCACTTATTACCTACACTTTCGTTTGTCAATGAAGATAGCACTTCTTCACATGAAGACGAATTACAACGAGATTCAAGTACACCAATGCAAGTGTGTATTGTGGAGGAGTCTACTTTAGAGCTAGGCCTGACCTTTTCCGCTAAGTTGCTTCCGTATGAATTGGCTGGTGACGTTGTACATCTTACAGGATCCGAACTTGTAATAATTTCGTCACTTGCTGTTGGTGGTGGTTGATAGGGCGTCGATCCACTATTCTGCACTCTAATTTCTTCTGGTGTACAGGGATTTTCAGCGGGAGAAGTTGCTTCGGATGTTGGTCGGACTGACTCGCTGGTTTCTGAATTCGCACTACCGAATTCCTTTGACTTAGAAATTGCATTCGCAGGACTCTCAACAGAGCAGTCTTTGATGATGCGCTCACTAAACAAACTGGACTTGGGCTTACTGCCTGAAGATGACAGTGCTGTTTCTGAGTTCCATTTATCTGCTGGCGCATTGTCAAAGCAATGGAGGTTCTCCAGTGAGCAAACGTTTTCTATTGTTTTTTGACACTTATGGACAGAACTAGCATTTTCAACACCTTCAGGGACATTCGCCAACATAGCAGGTGATTTGGGGTCATTTGCGCCGTGTGAAGTGGATTCGTTGCCAGATGCCAATCGTTTTTCGGTTTCGGTTTTAGTGGCATGCTTCTTATAATCTGACTTTTCTCGACTGCACATTATGGTGCGACTGTCTCGTTTCGAAAGACTGCATTGAGTCGGCCTTGATCGGCTTAAGATGAAACGGCCAGACGTTTTTTTACCCGCTTCCTCATCAATCAAAAAGTTTGTGTGGATCCTGTCATGAGACAGTTCATTGAGACGGTTATAATCGAAAACAATCTCGGGAGCAGGAGCAAGAAGAGGATCCAAATTAGAAGGCTGACGGACAGGTGACTGACACATATCTACATTGCTACAACTACCACAAGAAGAGGAGGTCCTTAGTTCAAAGTGGACAAGCTCGTCAATGATATTGTCGAAAAGTGATTCTATGGCCCTGGCGCCCGCTTCAATGCAAGAGTCGACGATTTCATCCGTTAGGCGATCAAAAACAATGGGTACAAAGAAACTTTCAGGAGCGCCCAATTGAAGACCAACCTGTCGCCAATGCTCCTCGTGGGTGGTTCTGGCAATTTTGTTGCCCTCTAGCAGTCGTCGATGAACGCCAATTGGCAACCTGAGGACTTCGTAGATTGAGGGAGCTGGCAGTTGATCAAAATTTGAATCAGTCATCTACAAAAGATAAAAACTCAAATGATGCGTTTGAGATACGAATTTTGACATGTTCATTTTGTCCCAAACTTCACCGCCTAAGTCACATACTTAAGTGAAGCAAACTATTTAGGAAAATTTTCTTTTAACAGCTCACCACTCTGAATGTTTAATAACAGTGCCGTCACAACTGTTGTGTCAAAGCCACTGCCAATATGATTCAAGGTTTAGTCTCTTGGATGCAAGTCTGTTAGAATTCAAGCTACCCGTCATTCACAAAAAGACCTAACTGCTTCATAACAGAAAAAAGTGGCGTAGATACAAATCTGTCGTAGAACAATACCTGTAGAATACCAGAGTTTACCGTCATTATGAAAATTTGTTAAGACCGTGGGCCACTAGTCAGGTTGAAAGATTAAAGTCAGAAAACAAAAGTGATCATACGATTTACTAACTTGAAAGCTTGTCTACACACACCTAGGAGTGAATATTAGCCAACCTTTGGGGTGCTGCATTCCATTGAATGGAAATTAAATTGAGTGACTTTCGAAGACCGCCGGGGATTTTGTTTCCGGTCTGGTAGTGCTCGGAATTGGTGTTTGAAGGAGTATCGTTGTTTTGTGCGCCTACTTATAAATCGGCCGATGGAATCACTAGTAAAGAAGGAATTAAAGAAATTGCATGTAGTTTCAACGACGAAAGGGCAAAAGAGACAAGGAGCAAACGTAATGCATCAGACTGTTTTGAAGTGTGCTGAGACAAACACGCATTTTGACGTAAAATTAGGTAAAGTATGGCTAAACCCGGCTGCTTAAATTTGGGCCGGAGGACTTCAAGTTAGCCAATCATGACCGTCAATCCTTTAATTCCAAATGAATAGTCCCAGAGGCTTCTCTCGTAAAGTAATGACACATTAAAGTAAGCAAGCCTTAAAGGTACAGATAACAATTATATTAATAGAGAAATAGGAATGCAAAAGAACAGAGACACCGCACTGCTAAGAATAACTGAGTTAGTGCAAAAAAGTAAATCCCGTGAAATACACAGATTAGATTTTGATAAACATACGTTGATGCAGATGAAGAGTCGGAAATAAAGTCATCGGGCTGGATTTGAGACGAAGAAATAGAGGGTTTGGCAGCCTTATTAGGGCTGTTGGTCGTTAATGTTCCTTCCCACTTTTTGAAGAAAGCTACAGCCGCAGAATATTGTCGGTCAGCGTCGGAATTTCGACACAACTGAAACCGAAGGTTTCTTTCCTCCTCTGAAGTTGGAATTGTCGATAAACACGCAGTGGAGAGAACCAATATAAAAAATTAGTGTGCACAACATAGAGAGCCTTTAACTTTATTAAGCCGTTTGTGTCACAATAGAAAAGAACTCAAGCTCCTGCCAACTTGGCTTAAATTCAGACATCGACATATGAATGAGCACATACAAATAGCCTAATGTAATGTAGCTCGTTTTCCTGTGTGCGAAGAGATGTGCTAAATTCTCCTAAATTACAAGTATTAAGAACAGACCTCGACACACGGGATTGAATTCTGGTCGACGCATTATTTTCAACTCGTCCACTTGATCACCTAGACTGCCACCAGATCCGAGGCGTTTTAGATACGACGATAGAATGCTCAGATCACGATGAGGTCGCGAATTCGCTTGGGAGCGGAAGCGCTATAAAATCAGTAATACTTTGGAAATTCAGTTCACGAGAGAAGCTAGACCATTCATAGTCCGTAAAACTTACACAAGTTTGGTACACGTCTCGTTTATGCTGACGTGCAGTGGCATCTCTGTCAGCCCAACGCACGGACAAAGACACCTTCTCACTCTGAGGTCCCTTGCGGCAAAGTGGTCGGACACAGGACCTCAAGAGGCCCTTAGACGTGGCGAGTTGCTGCGGGAAACGGCCGCGCATAAACGCCCCACCTTTGTCTGATGGTAAATATGGGTTCTTGGTGACTTGCTCTGTCAATATTCCAGAATCTAACTTAAATAGCGCAGTTTTAAACTGACTTATCAGTTGCCGTAGTTGTGAGGCCTGCGGTAAGCTAGTTAGAGCATATTTACATTACTTTAGTAGCGTTAAGCTGACGATCAGTGGGAGCGTAGAGGGGTTTGCGTTGACTGGGATCCAGGCCAGTATCTCTTACGGGTGGTGAGTCAGCTCTTAATGTAGACGAACTGGTTTTCAGAGGTAATGTTTGCTGTTTGTTGCCGGGTGTTGGTGGCGAGGCACATTCCTGTAATGCATAAAAGCGGCGCGATTTGTTTTTTGAAATATAAAGTTACCCGGAGGGATAAACGGCACAAACCTCAGATTGCTCAGAGTCGCTCGGACAATGATCCTCAGAAATCTCAACTGGGTATTGAGGGAGCCTGTTAAAAACAACATCATGTCGAGCAAGATATGATGCCAGTTTCAGGAGCTCCAAGTTGGTGTATTTCATAAAGGATTCCTTGATGAGAGGATTTCCGTTGGCATACATTCTTCTGGAAGAAAACACACATGCATGAAAAAAAACCACCTTCACAGTGATCGAAACCCCGAGAGTACAAACTCAAGATGTCAGACAAAATATTTATTTTGATTTACATACTTTAATTTTAGCGCATTGTAAATCAATTCCAAAAAAGGTGTTATGAAGAAAAGTAACTGAGGGTACAATATCTTCGCTGGAATCCATCAATTCTCCGTGAATGCTGTTTCTTTTAACCTTCACACGACTTTTTAGTGATGAAACCAGTGATTCAAGGACCTGTTTTTCTTTTCTGACTTCAAATTGTGGTGCAAATGGTTGGTTTGCTGTTGCCATGGAAAAACCAGACACTGGATGAATAATAAACTTTGGTGTCTTCAGAGAGTTGGCTACATAATCAATGCGATGCTTAAGATCCTTAAATAAACTTGATTCGGATGTGGCGTTCGACGTCAAGATTGTTCTGTCATGGGTCAATGGTTGATATTCTAGTAGACGTTGTTTGAGACATTGAAGAGAACGATAGATTTCGGTCAAATTTGTATGCGCGTTTACTTCGACGTTCTTAAATGAACGGCCCATTTTGACAGCTGCGGAAATATTCGCGTTTTGTGGTGGGAGTCGCGCCCAGTGGTAGAACGCAGCTGAATTTCTATTCCAAGTAATCAGGAGGTTCAATATACGCTCGAATTTATTTACTGAATCTGCTTTCAATGAACCAAATCCTGTCAGTATGTAGGCAAGTTCAATAAATGTGAGTGTTCGATGAAGGGGCGGATGAAAGCTGACCAATTTCGCGGAGAAATCCCGAAAAACTTGTCGCATTAGCGACTTATATAGCGAAAATAATCCCGATTCCTTAATAGCAATAGCTGACTGAATACTACAAACTTTGAGAAGCCCTTGCTTCAGATTCACATTTAGATGTGAAACAGTAGGAAAATCGTAAAAGGTCAATGTACAGTTGTCAGTAGCAAATTCCTGAAGAAACAATTCAGGAGAATATGACGCATTAACGTCGACAAAACACCAAATTAATAACAACAAATTTAGATTTGGATTGCATGATTTCGAACTAGAAATTATAAACGGACATCCACGATACTCTAAAAACTCGTTAATAAGAGCAGTAATGGCCGTTTCGTTCTTTTTGGAGACTTCGCGGAACAAGTTAGGCGAAAGCTTACGTTTCACGTATTGAATAAAGAGGAAAAGCAGATCAAAAGAATGGCTGTAAACAGTAGGATAATTAAGTTTGAACTGTCTCAAAAGATCAGGACTGTGCTTTGGTAAACCAATGCAATCTAACAATTTCACGAGAGATGATGCAGCCTGCTGAACGGACATGAATACCAACGTCCGACTAGGTACACATGTAGGTCCGAAAATGCATTACAACTAGCCAATCGTACCCAACGAGTCAAGACACCTTCCGTCTAATCGGTGGAAGGTTAACAACAGAAAAATGCAGACTACACCAGCAAATTCAAAAATTCGCACAAACAAAAATATTAGAGTAGTGATGCAAACAAAGTAGTTCCAGCACCATTAATTATAGAAAGCAGCAAAAAGCTAAAATTCATTTTCTTCACATACAGTGAACAAGGTAAGGTATTAAAAAAAGTTTGTGATCTTTTTAAATAAAATTTTACTTGACCGATGGAAGCAGTTAAATTGTTACCAACTTCAAAATCAATAACATAATGCTTTCTAATAAATTGCTATAAAGTAATTTTTGCCTTGCATACCTTAATTTTTAACCTAAATCACGTGTTTTTTTCCGAACTTTGGCAATACATTCAAATTATACAAATTTCGTCTGATTCGTTGTCTTTTGGGAAATCCTAAAATTGTAGTGAAATGTAACAATTCGGTGGCCACAATTTTAGATTAGTGATCCATGACACATTAACCACATATAAGTGAGATCATTGTTTCAACCTTTTAATTATTTAGATTTCAGTGGAATTTTTACGGTTACTTAGGGCTTGGAAAAAAATCAACAGATGGTAATTTTTGACAAATTATGGTCGAACAGCAAAAGCCTAGGCATCAACTACATGCTTAAATATAAATCCAATAATTTTGTGCATTAGGTCAAGAATCTAACACGACTTTTCTCGAGAAACTTAATTTTCATATAATTATTCTATCCTTTGAAATGAAATCAAAATCAAATAAGTAACCCTAGTCCGTAGGATGCTTAATTTTTCTTTTAAGTTATTAAATGTACTTTTGATGACTGTCAGGACAGTTAGAGTGAGAGAAGCCTTACATATTTATGAATGAAATAATTATAAATTGGATCTGCGACTTCGTTAAAGTTCAACCAGTGCTTGCACGTATCTAAATATTCGTCTATGAAATGGATGACGAAATGCAAAAGTTATAACCAATGACTTTTTAAATTCTTTTTAATAGAAACATTGAATATTTTGAAAACTTGAAATTCTACATTTCTGGAAGCTCAGAAGCCACACGCACAACAAATTACACTATCAAAATGCGAGCCTTTTTCATAAAATAGGTCGTCATATCGCTTAACTGTATACTTTGTCAAATGGGATAAACAAAGTAGCGATCATTTAATTTTTTAAATGTTTTTAAATATATATTAACTGGAAATATTTATAAACTACAAGGAAATTTTAAACTCTGAGATGTGGACCTGTGATTGTTTAAAAACACCACGTAAATGCTTTGTGGCTGCCGTGTTTACTTCTCTGGTCCGTGATACAAGCTATCTTCAAACCTTGTCAAAAACAAGAATGGCTTTGAATAGAACGAAAAATCTACTACGGGATCATCACTAGTATTTAGCTACTTTAAATTGGGAGGTTATTTTTACATCAGGCCTTTAATTAACAATTAATAAATCGTTCCCTTGTCTACGAATTTTCTACGCAGTTCCCTTTTGACGAATTATTTAGATGTCGCGTAGTCCCGATTTCCTGTTTATTAGTACCCAATATTTCAGAATGTACAGTAATGATGTAGACTTCATGCTTGCTTTTAAAGACTGATGGGGTCTTAAATGCCACCTGAATCAAATG